GGTGCGGGGGCTTGGCAGCTCCTTGCTGTCGACTGCTCTCTCTGTAGTGAAATCAGAGCTGGGTCTGCCTGCTCAGGGAGCTGTATTTATTGCACATCCTGACCACTAATATCAGAATACAAAATGGGCTTGTTTTATTTAAATTTCAAGTGCCTCCTCCCTGGGTCCATGTTGAAAGAGGCGAGGGGGGGGGGGGGGGTGGGGGGCCCAACAAGGTGAAATGACTTTTGGAGGGGTTTCCCCCCCTCCAACCCATGAATGTGGTTTTGAAACAGTGAGGCTGGGCATAAAGTTTAAGTAATATTTGGTAGCATTAATTCTTGGGCAGCCCCCATTCATCCCCACGCTGCGCAGAGCAGGGAGAGCGGAGTGAGCCGGGGGCTCCTCGCCACAGCATCGCAACTGCCCTGCTTATTTCTATCTAAAAAAAAAAAACCCCACAGTACGAGTATCCTCCTTTTTTTCATCCTTACAGTGAGCAAGTATCGTAGAAGAGTATGAAGATGAAATATTCTCACTTATCGCCCAAGAGGCAGACTATCTAGCTGACAAGCTGTGCAGTGAAAAATCAGGTACTGTGTCTGATGTAACATGTGCTCTCTCTACAGCGGTGTGGGGTTGGGTTGGGTTTTTTTTTTTTTCAAACTCAGTGTACTGCTTTGGAGGAGAAGTGGGCTGTTGTTGAATAAGCAATGACACTACATTACTTTTTAAAAAATATCCCTTTTTTTTAAAAAAAAAAAGGCTTTTAATTCCTTCGTGCATATTAATGCAGCATAATTTGAGCATCCCAGCTAACGTGGTGTGTTTTCCTCCTGGTGTTACATGATTTTTTGCTCCTTCTGTGTCTGCGCTGTCATTTCCAAGTCAGAAATGAAACTAACCCTCTTGCAACAAAATACAGGCATTTGTTTCTCCTGTTTAATTGCTAATTGCAGCCACTAAGCTGAACTGTGATCCATGAGAGCGCAGGTTTAGAAATGTGCCGTTCATTTTTAGATGAACTCTTCGTTGCCATCAGACAAGAGCTGTCCTTAGAAGGACTCGCCAGCCCACCACCTACAAGGGAGGATGTATTTTATAAATGTTTTCTTTCTCTGTAAAATATATAATTTCAAATAAACAAGGCCTCTTTTTAATCCTGACGAAGTAAGAAATTGCTTCAAAAAATTAATTGTAGCTTTTTAAAAAATCTTCCTCCATTCCTTTGTCACCCTTGTTTTCAATGTTGGGTTTTTTTTAACTTTTATATTAATTTCTGAATCTAAAAGATGTATCACTTAAAACACTAAGTACTATGAGATTATAAATGAAGTTGGATTATCCTTCCTCAGTGTGCTGCCTTTAGTGATAGAATATGCATGAAAATATTGATCTCAGAATCAACGCTTGTAAATATTGCTGTGTGGTTTTGAGATTTAAAGGCTATAAGCTTTATTTGGTATATAAGAAGCAGAGCCCATAAAAAGTACTAGAAGTTGGCAAAAGCTGACTCACTAGAAGTTCATAGAAATGAGTTTGTATACTTTAAAGCATCAGTGTATTTTTAATATTTATTGAAAAAACATAGTCCAGAGCACTGGAGAACTCTATCTGTAACAACAGAGTGTCGTCTCCATAATCTGTGAGGACAAATAATTTCAAAAAAATAGACTTCCCAGAACAAGTTCTTTTACAAATATTTCTTATTTGTCCTATCTGCTATGACGGAGCTACTCTCTGTCATGCCAGAAGAGCAAACACACCGAGTAACAAATTATTTTGAAAACAACGTACTTCCTCCAAAATGGACGGCCAGATTTCTGGTAGTGCAACTTGTACAGAAAAACTTTCTGGGAATTTCAGAAACAAAACCCAGAAGGGTCTGTGGGATAATGTAGAAAAATCATCGTCTTCCAGAGAGATTTTATCAGAGAAGAGGAGATTGGGATAAATCCCCTCTCCTCCTTGGCTCCCCTCATAGCAGCCTCTAACCCTTTTGGAGAACAAATTGCAGTTTTATGCATCTGTATGCTTACTACAAAAGATTTGCCAAAGGTCGACACAGAATATTGATATCGAAGCCCAGGCTGTTAAAAATATCTTACTTTTTTTTTTTTTCTTTCATGAATCTGCTCAGAAGCTTTTTTTTTTTTCCCTTTGAAATCACATTTTGTGTCTAAACCCCACACTGTGTGCTCATCCAGCCTTCTTACATCAACAAAATAATTTCGCCTCTTCTGGCAGAAGAGATTGCTGTAACCACACAGTAGCCTCCGTCACACAAATACCCCCCTGCATATTTGCAGGGCTGCTCTTCCTAACTATAAATAGCGGTCCGCAGAGAGGAAAGGAGTTTAGTTTTCTTCCTGGCAATTAGCACAGATAAACAAGCTGCTGTTTCATAAACAGAAGTGTAAACCCTCTTCATTGCAAATAGAAGATGTTTGCAAAAGTGGTGATGCTGCGCTACCCTGGCATAAAAATAAGGACAAGAAATTAATCTGCCATTCCCTGTATGGCCCCATTGCCCATTTAAAAAATGTCAGTATGTTAAAGAACAAAGACTAAAAAAAGCCACAGAGACTTTTTTTAAGCTAATTCGCTCTACGGATAAAGTAGGATGAAAATAAATGTATTAAATTGTATTAAAAATAATGAAAACCTGTTTCCATGAACTCTGTGGCAGGCAGGAGCTGGCAGAGGAGCACAGTAATACCTGACAGAGCAGGAAAGTGCCTGCCTGGGTTTTTCCAGGGAAAATAAATTCAAGCTCTGGTGGCATTGGAAACGGCAAGTCTTCAAAATTGTGTCAGGATTCACCCCAGCTACGCAGCTCTAACATATAACTTACCAAAGCCTCCAACTCACGGAACACAATGAGAGTTCTATTATTAAGTCTTATCTGTCTTACAATGGCAATTTTCATTAATACATTATATTAAAGCAATATTACACTCTTATCGTCTTACTGTAAATTATTGGCTCTTTTTTATTCAGAGCTCCATGTGTTCATTCAGAATGGCATTTTTAACTTTTTTTTTTAGAGGGGCCACAAATTATCATACTAAGCAACAGAAATAGTATAGAAAACCTCTCCAAGGGCCAGTAGCAGATTTTGATGCTGTGGATTTCACCATAAAGCAGAAGAAAAAAAAAAAAAAAAAGAGTCAGTGGTGTATTAATTTCATTATTATGCTTTTAATTCTGTTTTAAAAGGCTGCATATGTGAACATGGCTTATTTCTTGTGGCCCATTGCGGGCTTATTAATATTGGTGTAATCAAACCCTTTTTATATTGTGCTATGGTAAAATTATAAGGGTTACTATTTCCTCTCAGCCTACAAACATGACATTAATGGAAGCCCCATATTATAGGGAGAAAACCCTTTATCCGTAAGTCACATTTAGTACTTTTTTTCATTCTCATATCATACTAGTCCCTTTTCTATGGGTGCTGGAGGTGGATGTCTCTTGTTTGATTAAAAAGTGGGAAACTTCAATAAAGTCTTTTAGCATGATCAAACCGTTTGATATTTACAAGCATAGATCCATTCGCTGTCATGTATTCTTTGATCACGCAAAAAGTCTTGGTGCTAGACAGGCAGGCAGAACCTGCTGAGGCACACCTTCAGATCCTCTACTATTTTTACAAGCTTAAAAAAACCCCTAAAAGTTAATTTTCAAGGAGATTACTCTTTTTTGTTTTATCCCCTCCAAACAGGAGATGCGGTTGCCGGTCAGACCAATGGAATAATAGAGGTTTATTTAATTGCAGAGCCCTTTAATTTTCTTTGCTGATTGCAATTATTTTCTGCGTGCTCTTTCTGAGTTTATATAGATTTTTAGTTGCAGTAGTTGGGGTTCAGTACCATGCCAGCAGCGTTTCACTCAGGGTTAGATGGAGTTGTGCAAAGACCAGTAAGAAGCCAGAAACCAGCTAAAGCTTGTGCTAATGTACAGAGCAGGGGCAATTGATTTATAAGTGGAAAATAATTTAATACCACATCTTTTATGAGTGCTGAAAGCTACTGTTTAAGTAACACCAGCACTTCTCTGACATCTTTTTTTTTTTTTTTTTTTTTTAATGTGCTCACAGCTATAAAAATATTCTGTTTGGTTAAAATCTTCCAGTTGCCATTTTATCTTTAAAGTGACTTAACCCCTGTATTTCTTTATTTAGCTGTTTGGAAAGTTTGACTATAATATAGGCCCCCGATGTTAAGTTATACAAAAGTGAAACAAAACACTCTTATTCAACTGCAAAGAAATCCAGAAGTCTCCTTCGGTACAATTATCGCTCAAACTATTGTGTTTTTGCAAACTGATACTTTCTAGGAGGCTCATTCCCAGTGAGAACTACTCTCCTGGAGAGTTTAACAAAGCTAGCAGCTACATCAATTAAAAGCAACTAAAATGTCTGTTATGGGTATGTGCAGAATATTAAACCATTTACCATTTACCTTAATACCCTCCGCAAGATTATGGTTAATAAAGGCAATATATGGGGTACAAAGCTGTGGTTTAATGCTGCCAAAGTACCCTGGAATTACATATTTTCTCACATTTTTCTCCCCATGCAACTAGGAAAAAGAACAGTATAGAGAGAGATTAGCCTTTGAGTCCCCTGCCCTGCAATAGGAGCTGTGAGCACAGATTGCCCTGAACGCTACAAGGGATTGAATGATCCATATCTGTGGGGTTTATTAAAGAACTGGGCTGTGACACTCCTTGTTTTAAAATACCAAGTTTGATTAAAAAAATCTCAGATTTTAGCTGCGGCAATAAGATTATACTGGGAAGACAGGAAAAGTGAGTTTAAACGCTAATGTGAGCCCCTCTGGAGAGAGAGAAGGGATGATTTCTATGTTTACTGGTGTAGTTAAATTTCTCTTAGGGTGCAGAATGCCAGGGTCTGTTCTCCAAGGCCAGTCCATGGCCAACCCCATCCATGGGAGCACCAGCAGGTGCCCAAAGCCAGATGTGAAACCACCTGGGCAACAGCAGCAGGTTCACCACCAGACCTTGGGTGCTTCCTGACTTGGGTTTCTAGCAACTATTTTTCCATAACCTGTGTTTCTGTGATGTGAAAATCATTAGAGACCCCAGAGTAGTGGATAATTTTTCAACTAAAATGAGAGAGAGTTTTCAGGGCTTTGTGAAAACGCCTCCTCGCGTAGGGATGCCCGGCTCATGTCTATGCCCCGTAAGGGAAGAGTCGGACCCTGAATTATGTAACATGTCTCAGGATGTTTACTTTACTCTGTTTCTTAAAAATTCTTCTTGCTCTGTTTCAGAGAGTATACCCAAAAAATCCTGACTCACTCTCCGTGTGTCACAATTACGCCTCATGCTGTTCCTCCTTTCCGATTTATTGCACAGAAGTAGTTTAATGTGCTTTAATTTTCACCTGAACACTTTCGGTGGTGGAAGTACTTCAGGAAGAAAACCTGTCTTTTTCTAGTTAAAAAAATGTATTTTTTTAATTAAAGAAACAGGTACTTTTAGCAAAGTGTTACTGTCCAGGACATCAGTAAATCACAGGGAACATTTCCTTCCTTAAGGACCTGTGCAGAGGCTGCTGCTCACACAG